TACTGAGTATTTTTTGTATCATGTGGAATTTTTTTTGATTGACTGTAATTTTTCGACATTTCGTAACGCCTATTTTAGAACCAAAATAAGGCCTTTCACTCTTCCCCGACGCCTATTCAAGAAATTGTACGGTGTATTGTTTGTTTTGTGCATGTGTTGTGGACAAAAAATGACCACGCCCATTTAGTGATTGCAATATGTACGTAATAGAAACCGCACCCCGAACTTGAGCTTTTGATCCCAATTTTTAAATTGATACATTGTAATATAAACCGCGGTTTATAATAGGACTTTAACGGTACTATGTGTTCATCACAAAGAGAGTGAACAATGTTAAGAAGTTTACAGACAGTTTTAAAAATAAATCTCAACTTAAAGAGTAACATGCAACCCCTGTAAAAAGTCTGGGTTGCCATAATACTGTAAACACATTAATTATACGCAAAGCTTTAATTTTGCTATTTTCACTGATATTGAAACTTTGCAATAGAATTGATTAATTAATACACTGTAACCTCAATATAATGAACACTTTTATATTGTATTTCCTGATATAATGAACACATAGCATGTCTCCCGCTCATAACAAACCCAATGTAATATATGCTTCATTACAGTGAACATTTCACTATAACAAATTAATTGTATGTCCCCCCCCCTCCCAAAAAGTTCATTATAACGAGGCTACAGTGTAATTAAAATGCTCTCCCCAAGTACATAATTAAAATTTAATGTTTTCACAGTATTACGAGTGTTAATAAACATGTATTACATCTACAGAACAATGTTGTTAATTTGAAACAGAGAATGGATGAAATGACTGGATGAATGCATGAAATGAGCCACCTTGCCCGATATGTGACTGGAAAATGGTGTGAAAGCAAAACTGCCAAAACGCATGCAGATAAAAAAAAGAAAAAGAAAAAAAGAGAAAAATGTATTTTTCATTTTGTTCGCAATACCTATTTTTTTTCTTCATATTTGATGAACGCGGTGATAAAACACCTTCATACTGTTCTTTGACTTCATTATGCTGGACCCAGGCATGGATTGCTTCTATAACAAAACACATTTGATAATGAATATACAGTGCCATGTTTGATTTCCACATTCTTGTTATTTCAAATGTTCCACCAGGAAATGCACAAGGGCCAAAAGAAACTTTATCAAAATCTTTGAGTTGTCACACAATATGTACATGCCATGACAGTGATTGTTATTTCCTAACACTATATACTGCTGGTCAAATATGAGTTTGTGGTGAGCATAGAGCGTTTGACAACAATTAAGAGCCATTTCTCCTTGAATGAGTTATAAGTGTAACATTGTTACCCCAACCTCACTCAATAAACATAAATTTTTCTTCTAAACAATCACAGACATTAGCTATAATACAAGAAATGTAAACATCAGTACTAGCATTATAATAACTCAAATTTGTTCACACAAATCATCACACCTTAGAAATGTAGCATATAAAGACTTACCATCTCCATCTACGTGCTCATGTAAACTTCCAAGATCTAATGGTGGTACAACAGGTTTTCTACTTGAACTACTACCAGGTGAGTAACCATTTATAGCTCTATCATGTAAATGTCTGTCATCTTCAAGTTCTAAAGTATGTGAAAATACACCATAGGATTCGTCTACCTCATTGTCCAAGTGTTTTTTCTGTTTCCGCTTTGTCCGATGTGGTGAATACAAATCTTGTGGGAAGGTGTGATGTTTATATTGCCTATGAAAATGAATGAGTTAATACATTTATGTCTGAGAACCCTAGTTGCCAAATTTTGAACACCACTGCTAACTTGTGAACACAATTACCAAGTTTCGAACATCATTGCTAACTTTTGAACACCATTGCTAACTTTTGAACACCATTGCTAACTTTTGAACACCACTGCTAACTTTTGAACACCACTGCTAACTTTTGAACACCATTGCTAACTTTTGAACACCACTGTTTAAGGTCTGTTAAAGAACAAATTCTGTAATAGTCATCAATTTAAATGTTAACATGATGTCCAGGTATATATATATATATATCTACAGTTCAAATTGTACCTCAGTGTTTCCTTGGAAGGAGTCCGCCTATTCTTTGGTGGAGGTGCTCTATTGGCTGTAAGCTGCAATAAAAACATAATGGTCATAGTTAGTTCTAATCCACAAAGAAACAAGCCATGCATGGCACTGTCCCAGTAGTTATCAAATTTAAGATATATAGTTTTGTTTATAGTAATATAGCTGGAATATAACCATGTCAGGAATATGATTATGATGATTGTTTAACATTAAAATGTTTGTATCTGATCGTCAAACAAGTACTTGTCCATATTCAGAGATATTGCTCTTGAACAGCATTAATTAAAACAAAATCAGCCATTTTGAATACATGTATATATCTATAACATGATGTATAACGAATATTCAAAATTTGAACATAATCAGTCAAAACAAGTCAGAGATATGGGTCTTGAAGCCCATTCATTAAAACAAAATGGCCTCCAGTCGGCCATTTTGAATCTTATCTGAAAAACAAAATTATTTGCATCAAGATCCCATAATGTCTAATGTATATACCGAGTTTGAACAAAATCCATCTGTAAACAGCCGAGAAATGTTTGATTTTGATGATTTTTTAGCACAAAAATTGCCGCCATTCAGCCATCTTGAAGCAAATTGATGTGCATATGTATAATATAATGTATGATGTATGTGTAAAGTTTGATTATGATTGGTCCAGACA